CGACGTCGTAATTGATTAAACTATCGTTATATCGCCAACGTGTTTATATATATTTTGACAAAAATAAGGAAAGAAAATAGATAAAGAAATGAAAGTACGACATTCGATTTGACAGTATACGACGTGGCTTACAAAAGTGATGATTTTTTTTCTTACAGATGGAATAGCCGTTGTTGTAGATCTTCAACTGGTTGCGTTATAAGACCTTTTATTCTATTGACAATACCATCCCGAAGAAAATGTTCCGAAATTTTCCTATAAATACTGCTAGTAAGCGACCTATCAAATATTTGCACGTTGATATGTATGTATATTATTTATCTATAATGGTAAAAACGGTGATTGCTGGTTTTAATAATGGTTTTATTTAATTAAATCTATTCTGGAAAGAAATTTGTAATAGAAGACTGTAATTCTGAAGCTATTTTGCTGACATATCATAGCATATGTTCGGGCGTGGAACGTATTCTAATCCGTATGCATTATATCCGGGATATATTCATTATATATACTCCTTTCGGGGTTGAAATTTGTCCTAAATCTCTCTTATAAAATACGGACGTCTTTCTATTTATCTATCGGCAGTTCTTTGTCTATGTTTAAATTGTAAATCTGAAGTCGGGGTTTTAAATACTCCTAAAATAATCGATACGGTATCAAATGTTAGATCCCTCAATTCGCCACGTGTTTAAAGGAGAAAAACGATTTTCTGATAACATGGAATGCGGGCAATAGATATGAACTTCAGGCCGAAACGTTTCAATGTCTTTATAATGTCTGTTGCCAACACTTTACAGGAATAAGGCATTAGAAATTAACAAGTAATCTATAGCTATGCACGGTGATAGAAAGCACACAATTAACATACCGTATATCTGTTAAACCTGTTGATGTCACAAAAACGATCAACAATGCCGTTGTATTAAGAACTTCTTTTAACTGTCAGCAAGATTAAAAAAATTGAAATTACAAATTTTTGTTTCTCAAATACATGAAATTTATTACAAAATATCTTTACGGGTTTCAGCTATGTTCAATTGTGGGAGTAATGTCCCTTTTAATTTCTGGTACGTCCCGCTTATGGATCTGAGGAATAATTAGACAAAATATTCATCGTTGTTTAAACAACTTAAATACGTGTTTTATTGAAATGCTATAGCATATATATTCATTTAGACTTTTAAGTATTTAAATTAGTACAAATCATACCTAAAATGAAAACAAAAACTAATTAAGCACACGTAAATCGTTCAGTGGCTGAGGTTGTTGTATTTCATCAATATTATAACCTGATTTCAACATCTGGTCCACTGTACACAGGCAAGGCGTGTCCACAACACATGGACACAGGACAATAAACCTGACTACACAAATTGATAGACGAAGCCGTGATTCACAAACCTCGCCATACAGCAAGACAGTCATTCATCAGTTGAAGCTTGTTATAGGCGGCGTGTGCTAGGCATTGTTTTGTTTACTTTCCTTATTAGAAAGTGTGGCTTATATACTGAGGCAGTTTGTCACTTGTAGCCAAGAGATCGACCGACCATTGCTTATGTTATACACTGGTCATGTTGCGATACAACAACTATATTTATTCTATTTCCTTTCGTTTCGGTTAATTAATGAAGAATCAAATTTTGAAAACAAATGCTTATTTGCCAAATGGAAAACCTATTATACGATGTACTTTGGTCAATACGATCTCTTAAAACTGCCTTTGTAAGTCTGTGCACCATTAAAATTTTTGCGAATTTTTACTTTCGCGTTTACGCATTACATAGCATGTCGATATTTTTTCCCAATTGTTCTTTTCTATATTATTGAAAATCATTGTAACACGAAAGACAGACATGTCGTCCATAAGTGGCCATCACTGAAATTTTCATCACAGTAAGAGTTACATCGAATTGGAAAAATAAGGACTTTTCAAGATAAACCAAATTTCGTGATATAATGTACACTGTACATTAATTGTTTCTCCATTTCAATGTACTCTAATTACTCGGAAAAAAACATATTTCGCAAAAATGAAGTGAGTAACAGTATGCTAGTTGATGAGTTATGTATGAACTGACTATATCGTGTGTTACTTCATGTTTCTTTCCACAGCCTCTACAACTCCCGATCACTCAGCACTAACACATGGTGTAGAGACTCTAACCCCGACTCCCGTCCTAACGAGTGGTGTGGCTATATCGAGTGTTTCAGCTGCTTCGTCCCCCCTAGTTAGTATAGACAGCCAAGGGAGTAGTCAAGGTGGGGGTCAAATATTATCATCCTCAGAACATATTGGTAATCAAACCGTTTCGTCAATTGTTTCCAATGAAGGGATACAGATTTCAACAAATGACCAAATTCTTTCGTCAACTGGTGCCATTAGGGGAACGATAAGTTCAGTTAGTGACCAAACCACCAACAGTAATGTGTTAGTGGTATCGACAACGAGCAATATCGTTGGGACAAATAATAACGGTGATCAGAATTCAATGACCACAACGGGAAGATATTCAACCGCCATTGCATCAATGACTCTAGGAAGTGACGTCAAGGTTCCGGTGACAACGGCTATTGTTGCGTCTGATGTACATGGAACAACAAATCACGCGAACCCGTCACAATCTATCAATGATGGACTAGTATCTTCGTATACAACGAGTACCGAAATCAATCCGTCATCTTCTGTCAACCAGATGACTGAAACATCTGTGATAACATTAAATTCAAGCTTTAGTGGAGTGACATCTAGTAGTAGTAGAGTGAATGATGCTTTCTTCACTAGTACACAAGATCTGACTGGATCAGACACAATGAAAAGCAGCCAAGGTCGTGATGTTAATTCAGTTTTAATGGTAACTCCTACTTCAGTTTTAAACTCAATTGCCCAAGAATCGCATTTGCAGACAATCTTTTCCTCAAAATTTTCAGCCAACTCCGATTTTCAAAATTCTGCTTCTGTTCCATTGCATACGAGTAAAACCCTGAATTTCACAATATCGGTTCCGATGATGTCAAATATTGCTTCTACTCAGACTTTCGTACAAAACAGTTTTACCGATACGATATCCCCCTCATATATAGAGATTAGTTCTTTACCATTCGTCAGCCAGGATGTAGCCTCTGTAATGTCAAAATCGTATTCTTTAATGTTAGATATAACATCAAAACTTGTCGTGGATTCTAAGACTATAATCCCGACTAAAGCTTCTACATCTATGCAGACAGACGTCCATACAACCATACCAATTACAGAGCGTAGCCTAGAAATGTCATACTCGTCAAGCAGCATTTTCTCGCCGTTTACGCCAAGTGCGTCAAGCTGGTCAGTTGATACACCAATTGTACCTCCATTAGTACTTACATCAGAGTCATCAACAGTCAGTTCACCTGTCATGCCAACAATAATGTTGAGTCCATCATCCATGATGATCGCTACGGCAGTGAATCCACCATTGTCAAATCTTTCTTTGATCCAAGAGAGAAACAGTTCTGCGTTCATGTCTATTGCCATGTCAAGTTTACTATCACCGTCGGGAATGGAGTCACCAGTTACTCCTAGTTTTGCTATATCAGCTTCATACAGTATGTCACTTCCGGCTTCTCCGTCTGTGATGAGAACTTCAACATCTATGTATTCAACAGTACCTATACCAACCACAAACGTCTCTAGTTCATCATCAGCGTCTTTTTCCGGAATGACTCCACCACTGATGACGTCAATGACTTCGAAGTTCATCTCAGCGTCAGGGAGTGTTGGTATTGGCACCCCTGTTGTGACGTTAACACAAACATTGAATATTTCCGGAATGGTTTCACACGTGTCGCCATCAATGTTATCGTCAAATTACATCCCATCACCATCTGTTAACCTGAATATGAGCGCTGTGTCTCCAACATTAACTAGTCATTTGATTCCCCCGAGTGTATATCCAACTCCCTCACCTACGATGTCTCAATCAGTTCCAAGTATCACTTTACCCATATTACCAACAAGAAGCAGTGAAAGTTCGACACTCCCTTCAATGATGTCATCGTCGAACTTTAGTTTCTATTCTCAACGACCGGAGTCTTATAGTACAGGAAGAGTTCTACCTACAGTCCCATCTATATCAACTATACCTACCGGAAGTGCGTCTTCAACGTCCACGGTCACCCCTGCATCTGACTATTACATGTCATCATTATTGGATGTCCAGTCTTTTAGTTTGTCTAGTATGTCACCCAGTACTAACACCTCTCCTTTGCCTATATCCCCTACTAATGTAACTGGGTCAACGATGACCATTGCAAGCAGTATGATTACCCCAAGCTTTGTATATAGAACTGACATATACACCCCTACCCTATCAACACCCTTGCTAGTTTCACCAACACCACAAAGTGCAACTATTAACATGACAGGAAGCATCTCAGCATTAACCCCGACGGTATTGCCGTCTGCACCGTCTAGCATGCCATCTTTGGACAGGGAATTTTCTTCAAGCATGTCTATTAACTCAACAACATTCACAATGACAATAACAAACGAATACAGTTTGAACTCAACTTTCGCGGCCTCCGCTAAATCGTCAGGTGTTACTGTTTTATTATCCACAGTGACAGAGCCAACACCTATAACTGTACAGTCGACGACTGCAAGTGTACATTCAATTCCTACAACGATACATTCCTTGGCTACATCGACATATTCGCCACCTATAGTTTCACTGTCGTCTCCTATACCGATGCAGTCACCGCCTTCAGCAATATTTTCAACCCCTACCGTGATAGAGTCATCGCCTTCAGCCATACTTTCAACCCCTACCGTGATACATTCACCACCTTCAGCCATACGATCGACTCCTACCGTGATGCAGTCAATGCCGTCCGCGACACAGCCAACAGCCTCGACACAAACAGTACCAAATACAAGTTTGTCATCGGTCTCAATGGATTCATCTTCCTTGGTAATAAATATCTCAAGTGGCACTAATGTAATTGTACCCTCGATGACATCCACGATGGTGCCCGATAGGTCGTCTTCTTTGTCCTCGGTGACCTCAATTTTAACTTCTCACTCGTCAGTGCCGGTATTTAATGAATCAAGGGTATTCAATAACATGTCATCTTCACAAATGACCCCGTCAGGACCAGTTGGGATATCTACGAACATTTTGTCACCATCAGCTATTGAAATGACATCGATTCATTTAAATCTAAGTACATTTCTATCATCAGTTTTACAAACACCAAGTGATATTTCATCATCGAATTCTACTATAATGATCTTCCAAACAAGTGTGGTTCAGATGTCATCAACTGGAAGTTTACAGTCAATTAATGCAACACCAACGATGTTTACGTCAAGTATGACGTCATCAACACATCAATCAATGCCCTCTTCTATTACTTTGCCGACCACTTCTGACGTCACAACTCCAGTTATTGCAAGCGGTACGACGACGCCAGCATTAAATACAACACGTACGCTTTCAGTATCTATGACGCCTTCAGTTGTTGAAAATATGACGTCATCCAGTATAACATCAGACACCGTCATATTAACGAACGTGACAATGACAATGTCTGTTAATATGACCAGCACGATATCGCCTAACTCCACGGAGGTGATGTCTACATCAATGGCCCCAGTGACTACTGTACCCACTACTACCCCGACGACCACCACCGCCACCACCACAGAACCTCCCGCAACCACCAATTCTTTTATGGCCACCTACTGGACAGTAACAGGTAAATAAGGCCTCACGTGTTTTTTCTAAGTGATAGGTGTTCTGAAATGATTGTCATTTTCGAGAAAAATGTTCTCCGTCCACGAAAATAGTGTTTGTTTTAAATGAGAATGACACTTCCGTTTTTGAAATTTAGATCATAACCGTGATATATTTTTTTTTACTCTGACTCGTCCAAATTTCGGGAAGTCAATAAATCTCTAAGTAATGGGACTTAACAACATTTGGAATTGTGATTCAGGACTCATCTGAATAACACATACCAAAATTACTGATCTGAATGCAGATTATATTGAATTATTAATGTAACAACAATGCAACTGTTTCTGTTAGGAAAGTTCGATTGTGGATAGAGAACCCAAATCATTTAATATTTAGCATTTATCATATATACCCATTGATTAAAAGTTTCTGCTATAGTCGTCTTTCGCAGACGTTCAAAGGGAAGTAACCGGAGATAAGTTAGTTGGGTATACAACAAAATATTTAAATTCTTTTATGTTGAGTTCTGTATTACATATTGGCTAGCGTCACTTCAGGTATTTTACCTTTCTTTAGATGTTAACGTCCCTGTATCGACGAATGTGAGCGGGGAAGATTTCATAAACAGAATGGAAACAGGACTTGCAAATCTGTACGTTACAGCTTATTCAAGGAAACGCGATATTGATGCTGGTTCCTTCGACAACAACCGAAGACGACGTGCTGTTACAAAAGGCGATATCACAGTCACAGTAAGTGTAAATAAAACACACATGTCAACAAAATATTAATCTGAAACTCTAATTCTATAAAAGTAGGACAAATTTTGAACAATAGGAAAATAATACCCTAAGATATGTGAGAGAGTTGAAGGTGTTTCGGTTATTATATACCGGTATTAGAAATTAACTAGGATTCTTATTGTATTCGTTATGTTTTGATGTCATAATGAATAGATCCATTGTCTGCACATTTTCAATGTGGTAAAATCAATGAACACGAAAGTAAAATGGTAGATTCATTAAATAAAAATGGCAAACTCGGCATGAGGTGAATAATTATACATGTACATTTATTTTCTCGGTCAATACATTTCAGATAAACGGGATATGACACGGGCTGTTTAAATAATGTATGATTCTAATTATATAATACTGCAATGTTGTCTTTGAAATCATTGAAATGCGCATTAAATGCTTTCAATATTTCTATAAGAATTGCAATGAGCATTGAAAGAATAAAGTACCTTGATAAATACTCTCTTTTTTATAAATAAAGAACAATTAAAGAAATACAGCGGGATCGTGACGTCATGTAATGGTTGATAAATTGGGAAATTTGACAACGTCTTGAATATATTATTCTACATCTAGCTTTGTTATTACCTTTTCGAACAGATGCAGGATGTAACACGTGACCAGACTGACCCAGAAAATGTCTCAATGATGTATACAGTAGACAAAGCAGAAGTGCCTGTCCCGTCGGCAGCCAACGCCGAAACAATCAACTTGGTCAGTGATCAAGAAATGGCAATAGAGTTACAATACGTTGTCACAAAGAAAGCAAAACGTAAGTTATAGGGTTATTAAGAGACTCTCAATTGAATATCATCCTCGAACTAAAATGTAGTTTGAAACGCTGTACTTGATAAATAACGCATTGCACTGTATCTTACAGCAGTTCCACACTTCTAGGAATTGCCAATGATACTAGAGGCGGTTAGTATGAACAAGCCGAAGGCAAAATAGAAAAACGATAATTGGAAAAGAAATCATATTCATTGCAACTGTTAGAATGCGATTTGCAATGATGAAATGATTCAATAAAGCTGTTGACCAGTTACGGTAAATACTCTCACGTTTCCATATTGGAAAATATTTATCAGTAAACATACTCTTTACAGCATTAAACTGGGTCGAACCGGTAACAACAACAACGACAACAGAGGCGATGTCTCCTCCTGCGTCAAATAATACCCAGACATGGATCATTGCTGTCGTCGCCGCCGGTGTTACCATTCTCATTGTCATCGCAATTGTGGGGCTGTGTATTGCCACCAAGAAGAAGAAATCAGGTGTAGATGAGGAAGCCGAACCAAAATTGATGAACCTTAAGAACGCTCCATTGGATGACGTAAGTGATGCCAAAGACAACGATGAAATGAAATGCATTGTAAATATGGAAAGTAGACCTTCATTTCTCCTGTTACAGATTATAAAATGGGATAAGGTTTAATGTAGGAAGCCCTCATGAAACGAAAGGGAGCAATGAAGCTGTGAAATGGACATATATCACCTTATAAAGATATTTAATAGATTGACTTTAAACACGTGTAATTGCTGTGAATTAAACTGATAAAGAGAAAGAAAAGATATATAAAATAAGGGAGTGTTTAACGAATTGAAAGATTTTTTTTACTTACTTTAATTATCACCGAGTTTACGATGTGAAACTTTCCAGTATCCAAAGCCAACACATTGGTCGTTTGAAATGGGGGTATGAAAGACGTTAAGTAGATAATTTACCACTAAAATGTACTTAAAATGTAAAGTGAAATAATTAATGTTATTGAGAGTTGTCTCTCTTTTGGCAAAATGACATTGGATAAGGTGAGACAACTCGTTTTATTACAGAACATCTCCATACATGTACTTAAAATGTTTTATAGTCGGAGTTCCGTATTCCCGAAATAAGTTGATGATCATTGCAGTTTTAAACTTCGTGTCAGTAGGAATGTATGCATCATAAATGAGATTATGTTTCCTAATATTCCATATAAACAATGAATGCTATATCACAGTATAATGTCTGTTACGTTCTTATACAGATTCGATTTGTTGTTATGAATACAGCCGATGGGAGAACAGAAATCGATTATAATGATCTTACAGAAGGGAAGGTGTTGAATGTAAGCGGTGGTCTGACTCTAGGGGTGATACCTAATCGATGGCAAGCTTACATACTAACAATTATTGCCGAATGTCTCTTCTTACTCGCAGGACGAGGAGGATATCGGCAGCAGTGGAGGACGTAGTCATTCAAAATACTCAAGTATGGCGGACAGAGAAAGTTCGTCCAACCTGAAAGTTCAGTCACCAAAGAAGCAGTCATACGAAATCACATCTGTAAGGAGTAAGGAGGAGGATGAACATCTTTACGCCGAGGTCAAGAAACCAAAGAAGCCTGACTTGGCTTCAAGGATTGGAAAATCTAAAGGGTACGATTTTTTGTATTCTATAGGGTGGCTATGTTTTGAATCCTCATTAGAATTATTACAAGCTCCTAAGTTTTTGTAAAGATATGCTGTTGTTACACAAACTTATCTCAGGCTGGTTTGAAACTTGACCCAAATATATTCAAGAGATCAAAGTTACATAACTTACTTTTATTTAAAAATTTCAATTTTCTAGAGACAGGGGCTTGTCTTTATCACCGTATTCGCTATTCATTCCTAATGCTTACAACCTCGCCAGGAAAATAAAGCTAGGCAACAAGAATGGGCTGTGGTGTGGATGATATTAATTTGTGAATTTTAAATCATTTTTGTTTAGCACAACCTCATGAACGTCCGATTACGGTTGCACAAAGCATACAGAAATATAACATATTGTTTTATCAATGATACTTGGTGTAGAAAATTACTTGTTTATAAAAGCACTTGCAGTTTATGTATATGAGATGTAACTAAAAGACTTTCTCTGTTATATTGCATAAAGAAATCACAAACTGCAATAAAAGCCTCGTCAGAGTATAAACAAAATATATGTTTTCATGCATTGCACAATACAAATGTCATCTCCACAATATAGGATAATTCAGTCCTAACATTTCTTAAATTAGAATGATTGTAAGTATTATACAATACAAATATCATCTCCATTCCACGTGGATAATTCAGTCCTAACATTTCTTAAATTAGAATGATTTTATGTATGATACAATACAGATATCATCTCCATTCCACGTGGATAATTATCTTTGAAACGAGATATATGGTAGCAAACTATATCATATTCAGTTATACAGTCATGTATTACTTTAATATTAGATCTCAAGATGGCTTGGAGACAGAGGACATAGCAGAGGATGCTGAATTGATAAAATCCCCTAAAAAGAAAAAGGGAGAAAAAGGGAAACGGAGAAATAAACGAAAAGGTAAAATGAAATGAAAAGTTAATTCTATCGTGCCAAATTCTGTAATGTGAATATGTGGATATTCAAAACGAAGTTTGTCAAAGTATTGATTCTGCTCATTTACATTAGCTGATGTTTACAAAGACATGTTATGCAAGCACCTTCCTGATACGGTATTTGTAATGAAAATTGCTGAAACCATTTATGTTTATATAGCATATTGATACAAAATCACCATAATAATAACACGACATGCCAATTTACAGACGGAGAACTGGAAGACGAGGAAAAAGAAGTGATTACTAAAACAGTACACCCAGCTAACCTTTTAGTTCCCCAGTCAGAGCCTTTTGCTGAAAACGCATATTACTCTGCAGAGGTAAGATTTCGCCTCCTATATCCAGAGATTGCTGTAGTAATATGATTTCATTATCTTGATACAACACGTGATGCAATAGCATTTTAATAACATATATCGTATCTTTATCCAGATAGATTAATTAAGAGGATTGTACAAAAAAACTAACTTCAAACAGCAACTTTCAGGAAATTCATAGTAAAATACCGTAGAGACAAATTATGAAATAAACCATAGGATTCGTTAGTGATGCGAGGGCCTAAAATAGTAAATTAGACAGTTTCTAATACTCGATGATCAAAACTATATATACAGTCTGTAAGTTAGTTTTCTATAATGTTCAATAATTTTCAAATGCCCATTTCCGATTGTTTCTTATGATAAATATTCAAGAATGTGTTATACTGAACTGGAAATATACATTCAGGTAACAGATAATGAAATTTATGGGGGATATCTATATATGTGTTTATGAGGTATATATATATATCTATATAGTTCCGCTGTTTTTTTATAGGAAGAAGACGAACTTAAAAAACGAAAAGCTGCAGAGCGAAAGAAAAACAAACAACGAATTAGAGAAAAGAAGAAGAAAGAAAAACGGCAAGGTAATATAAAACATCTTTCAAAATCAACTGGATACGGTCAAAGTACGCTAAATACTCTATAACTCGAGTACAAACCGACCTTAAATCAATTAAGAAAATAAGCCTGTAATATCTTATATGAATAAACCTGCATATGCTTCCTATTAAAGTAAATACACCACGTCTTAGTTTTGAGTTTGAAGAGTATATAAACTGCAGTAAAATTGTGTTATTGATTCAAAGTCACCAATTTTCATTTTTGATTATTTGCATTACAACTAGCTAGGTTGTTAACATTAAAGAAAAAAACACGAGTAAGATATAGTATATATATGAAGCAGTTTAATATCAAGCTTTTTTAAAATGCAAGCATGACGCATCTGTTCAAACTCATTGCTTTGAATTAGTAAATCAGCTACATTACATGTTTCATTTTTGAATCGGAAAGATGCTATTTAAACATGGCCGCAAACATAAAGGCATGAATTTTGGAAAATTAAAGGTTGATCCTTAGATATGATTGTAATGTCACGTTCTTAAATGAGAACAAAGTCTACGGCAAGGGAACCACGATGCATGTTACTAAGTGTCAAACACATTTAACTTCATTCGCATAAGATAATTGAATATTTCCAATGAGATCATTATGCCGGTCGCAAAACTTTCCGAAAATCGTCGTCAACCTGAATTCTGAATTAAGCTGTCAGTTGTCGATATCTTGCACGGAAATCTTATGTCTTTAGTACAAAGAATACATGTGAAGACAAGAAAAACTTTAAGACGAAGACTTTGAGAGTGTTGTTTTATTGTTTAAAGATAAAAGCGCAGATCAGTTGATGGTAGAATATCTAGCTGCACAGGAGGAGATAGACTCAGTACTAGAGGCACCCCCCAATAATGAAGAACTCCCAGATGTGTTCATCCACAAGAAAAAGAAAGAGTAAGTGAAGCACGTGGTTACACTTTAGTTGTCGTATACAAAAGAGAACGCAATACTGCTTCAAATATGCATATTACAGTCACGGTTTCAATTGGTTTCAGAAAAATCGGCGACCTACGTGGTTGCCTGTATCAGGTCATAGTAAATGATTACATTACTAAAATATTATAACTTCGACAATGCAACATTTTACAGAACAAAACACAAAATAACTTAATGTTATTGATTCGTTATTATGTATAAAACTTATAATTAACCAATGTATATATGTTAACAATCAGAGCGCATATAGGAAAAATCAACAAATGAAAAATGTACAAATGAATTTGTACACACGGTGCTAATGAAGAATGAAAATACCATAAACATATATATCAAATAAATTATTTCGTTTATGTTTGCTTTACGGGAACAGAGATGAATTAATTCAAGTTTACAACGTGTATTAGAAACATTCGGAAATGTGATACACATATTACAACGTGTGTTAGAAACATTCGGAAATGTGATACACATGGTACAACGTGTGTTAGAAACATTCGGAAATGTGATACACTTGTTTCAAGGTGTGTTAAGTTCATATTACTAATTGCCTTTGATGTATACACTATCAATAAAGTACCTGCTTTCAATCCAGTCATTACAGGGAAAAGTATAATTTGGAGCGAATGAATTTACTTTATATGCATGTATAAAGAAACGTTGATATACCAGCAAATCAGCTACGGATATCTTTATTCTGTATTTAAAAGGCCCATTTTTGTTAACAATTTATATTTAAAGAATCTTGATTTAAAGGAGTGCCTATGACCTGCGTAATTACCATGTTACGGATATGCGGATATTATCGTTGTTTATTTATAGTCACAATTGTTTTGTAACAATATTGATTTATTGTATAAGCAGAGCTGACACATCAAAGATATCATGACCAATTTAATACTACAAAGATCCCGAATCGCATTCATTATTCATCGATACAACTATGTTTGTTTTTTGTAAGGAATCAATTGGTTTTTACCTTGTTTGTTTCAGGCCTACTAAGAGTACGCTGCAAGGACATGATGTAAGTAGTCTCTACATTCCAATCTATTTGGCACTACGTGTATTGCATTGAATCATCTAAACATATCGTTTTGAAAACCAAACCCTTATATAGATATTTGGCTCTGTTGATATAACATACTAATCAATAATAATAAGTGAAAAAGAAAATGCGATTTGTCTCCAGAACTAAGATTAGTGACATTGTCTCTTTGTTATTGTCGCATATTTCAATCTAACAAGAAATAAAAGATCTCATCTGCCAAGTATAGTCCCTTTGTTAGTTGTGTAATTTAACATTGCTTTTCACTTCCGAAACAAGTGCGAGTCACGATAGTGTTATCACACATGGGTCAATATGAAAGTGTGCAATCTATATTTTTTTCCAATCGAATCTAACTTGTCATGAAGAGGACAACTATATGATAAAAGTAGCATACATGTCAATCATGACAAACATATGCGATATGAACATTGTTTTCTAAAGGTCTCAGAATAACTTCAGTGTAAGATTTTTTTTTTTTTTTTGCGATTTTCTTATAGAATATGGCGTTATCGGCAGAAGAGTCCCTTAACGTAGCGCGTAGCAGGATGCATGAACTCTTAGATGACGCTTTCTCATTGATATCTCCATCCGCCGCCAGTATCACTCAAAATCAACCACCAGAAGATGAAGGGTAAGTAATATTTGTATCAATGGCAAGCGAAAATATGGTTATATAAGATATAACGATTAAAGCATATCTTGACTTTGAATAATTTTGAATCTGAGTACGACACATTTGCAAACATCTTGGATGTGATAATAGAAAATGGTTACTATCAAATGTTTAAGCAGTTATCTCGTTTATGTAAAAAACATTATTTTCATGCAGTTTTCATTCTCCGAGAACTCAGAGTCCAAGGTCACCAAGGTCACAATTGATGTTATTGAACCAAAGGTATATTTTTCATGGTTGTAAACCGCATTGGTTGCATGGTAGTCTAGAGGCATGGTATCCACCAATACTTCAAAACTGAATCTAAGACGTATCTATGTTAAAATCTATGAAAGAAAATAGATATCAGGCTTTTAATATACGTTATGTTTTGAACACATTTTAGTGGTATTACGAATCCTCAACAGCTTTGTTACTTTATCATACCATGAACACATATACTGTACACGATTACCTGGTGCATGTATTTTATTCAAAAATCTTTTTTTCTCTCCATTTCATAAAACTTTTAATTCTTGTTTTTTATCCACCTCGTATGCACTCCTTTTTTTATATCATATGTTTTTGTGTTTGGTACTTTTGATATTGCTTACTCTCATTACAAATTATTTGTTTGACATTTATTTACCAGTTCACGACTAAATGTATCGTATCATATCATTAATGGTAATAAATGTGCTTATACTCATTGTTCTCTTGAAAAATATCATGTACATGAACGGATATTAAAGTACTGGATGAAATGTATGATTGAATGTTAATTTCTTTCTTTGGGTTTTTAGATATTGTCGATATCATCAATACTTAAATCTGACACTGCAAGTTAAAGTTTTGTCAAATTTTTACATTAAAATAATTGTTGATGTCAGTTTTCAGAATGCTTCTGATATGTCCCCTTTACGTTATCTTGTAGCTCTCGTATCAAAGGAGGTGTAGAAATTACAAACGTATACTGAAATATATTGTAGTTGCATAGGACATCTTAGAAACATTTTGAAAACTATAACTTTGTTAAATATTATTTGCAAATCTCAGTTTGCCTGTTGCTAACGTGAACAACCCGTTTTAATTCCATGTTATCATTTCTCTTAATGCCTTATGGTAATACATGGCTTTGTTAGTGTTTCGACATCGTTTGAATTTTATAATTGATGGTAATGGTTATAAATCTGTGCTGAGATAGTATTTTGCTATTGTCTTGCTACAGGAATTTGAACAAAGTATACCCTGCTGATGTCGACGCTATTCCTATAGGGTAATAATTTATATGTGATATTCTCAAGGAAAAAGCCCAGACTGTAAATATGTTCCATTCTTCATACCGAATTCTTCATAAATCATCCATATAAAAAAACCTACTACATTTACCTTTCCATCCTCATGCAAATTCAATGTTTCCCTCATCGGGGAAAAATTGTGTTATTTAACATTCTTACTGAATAGAATGGACGAATTGAATATTAACTCAGATAAGTAAAAACTATTACAGTTTACTGCATCTGTTTTCTTTTCTGTTCCAAACATTCAAAAAAATCATTGAAAAGTTGGTCTACTCTTTTTAGCATTATATAATTATCTTTGTAAGAGAAAGAAAAACGTTACCGATAATCTTCTGTTTTAAGTTGTTGATCATGCTCAGGTTTTCTTATTATTTGTTTTCTGTCTACGTTTCTCAGGAACAATCGCGAGGATTTGGAGTTATACGGGTAAAATCTGCATGGATATATATTGTATTGTCAAAATTCATACAGCATGCCAACTGTATTTAAGTAGATCTTGAGTCAGTTTTCTTTGATAAGAATTAACACAAGAATGAAATTAATTCTGAAGATAAGAATGATTTCCAAAAAAAAGACGAACTTGTAGGATAAATGATGTTCTTGATTCACTGTATAGCATCCTCTCGCTCAGTCTTGCGTACTGAATGTATTATTCACAACTGACCCACAATGAGGTGTCGAACCCATACTCTCGATCGAAACGAGAAAGGAAGACCCTGCTTTTTGTCTATTTAAAGGAATAACAGGGATTTGTCTTTAATATCACCTACTGTTTTCGTCGATTAAAATTTTGTTTTTATGCTGGAAATGAAATATGAAATGATCTATATCCGTTGTAAGTTGTAATACTGCACATTCTTCCACGTTGTGCATTTTTTTACTAAATATGCACGACTGTTTCTCTACCCTTTTCACAGTAGTTGCGACAAATTTCAGTCATCCATTATGTGGATATATTTCTGTGCAGTTTGAATATCAAATATAGGCTGAAAATTGCTTGTAGATTTTACTTCATGGTGTTGTAAATGACCTTTTCTTTCTTTTGTGAAAATATTGCATGATGTCATTTTTATACATTGTATACATCATATATTCATTAAGAGCTATAGAAATTATACCGTTTGATTTTAACAATAGTTTGTCACTTAATCAAGCAAATAAGAATTTTGCTAACAAAGTGTTAATTGTTCACGATACAGTTAATTAAATTGTGTAACTTTTCCCATACAGCCGGAGATGTGTCAGAATGGGAAAGTGCGTCAAAAATAAATCTGGGCGCTTGTGTTAGAAACATGCTTATTTACCCTATATTATCTACTGTGGTTACAGGTCAGAGGTCATACTTGTTGACTCGAGAGCTCCATCACCTTATTCTGGGTAAAATATCACTTCTCGCTTCATGTCACTGATAAATAGGTTTCAGTATGATTATCTGTCAATAATAGTTTAAAATGTGACTTCCGGATTTTCCATTGATAAATCATTGGTTTATGTTTTGTGTTTTATATATACCAAACTGTAGCTTTCCCTGTATGATTGATCAGTCTACCTTTATTTCTCTTAACATTTCTTCATTTGCTGATTCAGCAATTTTCCTTCATCTGTCTGCTTCAAGTTTTACCTCATGGTGTGTCCTGTGACTGCTCTTTTGCTAAATAATTCGTCAAATCTTCGGAATTGAGCTAATGAGATGATATTGGTGTCAATCACATGTACTGTCATATTAGATACAACTAAAACGATTGTGGTTAAATACTGAGACTTTAATTATAACTTGTTTGATTTTTGTGAAACAGGCATGACATATTTCTCGCCCGATCATCGTCACCGGTTTCTAGGTAAATAAGTAATAATATTCCACTGTTCACACAGCGTAAAATCACAGTCACATACCCCTTTCGATCCCAGATGTTGTGAAATATTACAAAATGTACATGGTATATTGCACGATTTTAAAACACACACTCAAGAAATTGTTCACCTCATACATATGCTGATATTTGACGGAAATATTGTATAACTGAATCACAAGTCAAACCAATAAGAATAAAAGACATGTACATCCGAATTGGTTCTGATAATGCAATCAGTTTAAATCAGTCGCGTACATTTGTGTCAAATAGTTTATCAGAATGCTTAGTTTTTATATAATGAAATATCAAAATATGTTCATGGAATCAGGAATCCAACTATTTCAATTAAATAAGAAAAGTACACAACAAGCAAGCAAAGCCGCAGAACATTGAACACATAGGAAGATAAACGACTCTTGAAAGGCCAGTCATCGGTTACAACTTAGTCTAACATTGTGTAAAATTAGAGTTTTTGAAATCCTGCATTTAAGAACAATGTCATTTAATAATTTACACGTACCATTACAAATACATATCAATGGAAACTACGAAAAGTAGAAAAACATAGGTACTCAATCCTCTTTTTTTCATTTTGACTTTTTTGATAAGCTATCCGAATTCAATCTTTATGCTGTTTAATAGTTGTAGACATATAAACTGTATGATCTGTTACATATGATATGTTTTATATAAGTTACGATAATACACAGTATGCATGATACCGAAGAGTACTTATCCTTTTATGCTGTATGCACAACATCACAATATTTTATATACTTCATTAATATAGTATCTTCAATGTATATATCTCCTGCTTTAGCTTTTGTGAACCTTAAATGTACTTCTCTATTATAATTCCTCTTCACAGCTCTGAATCCATCTCCGTACCGGAAGACACTACTTCCACAGGGTAACACTTTATTATGATCCAGGAATGTAGTTTTTCACAATGTCGTTATGCTGAAACACTCGTGGAGTATGCAAATCTGTACTGGTATATGTTGGTAGTTCACTTTGTAATTGTTATCAATTATGTCAAATATGCATTTTAAGAAATGTGAATTTAATTTTCTTTCTTTTTTTTTTTTTGTGATATTTGCATGTACTGTATTAGTGCAGACTTGCTACCATGCAGTAGCGTTAGTATGTTGTTAGGTGCTTTCATGAACGATTAGATGTAGGGGCGTTGCTGGAAACCCAAACAGATGTGACAGTCTTTTGACTGTTATAAACCTTTTTAAGATTTGATGATAGTAAAAAAAACTCAGTTGAGAGCACATTCAGAGACATATGTGTTTTAAGACTCATAAATCATTTTCATACAATCTCGAACTGAATTGAGTTCGTTAAGATGAATAGATGTATAATGTATATCGTATTTAAACCTCACTGCATGTCCTAATGATGAAAGATCAACACTTATATATTGATTACGCAGAGAATCTCTGGGTTGGATGTGATTTGGTGCCCGTATAATTCATTATTTGGCTCTATTGTATCAAATTCCAAATATGAATTGAAAGGCTTTTTTATTTCATTTTTTATTTGTGAGGTGTGGTGACCAGAATGATGTATCCTTATGTGTGTGTTTAAAGACAGTTCTCGGATCAATATTATATTTTGTAAAAGCCTTTGTATTGATATAAAATCATACTCCGTGATCATATACTTACAGTTTGAATAAGATATGCATAGTTATCACATGATTGAAATTGACCCAAGTTCCATCCATCTGCCAAGGATCTGTGGTTTAGCATTTGTTGTCATTACAACTTTTTATTGAGAGACTTCTTCTACCTCCATGATAATGACATTTCGTGCTTAGTACATACCCTATCAGGGACGCAGTATTGTCAAATGTCACGTATTTTAAGGTACGTATGGTTTTATACTGTAAGATGATTGTCATTATCCCATTTTAAAGGTCAGAGGGGGTCAACACATCGTGCTGAATGTTTCAAGTTTCTGCTAAATATGTTTTAGGTGTAAAGTAATTTAATCGTATTTTGTCTTTCTTATACTGTGTTTCTTCTAATAAATGCAAATACATTAAAATGTACTAGTTTCCTTTGTAGTCCAATGATTCTATTCATTTAGTAAGTTCTACTGGTGCATCAATTCCGTATGGTATGGAGTTATGATGTGTAACCTTTGATAAGGGGAAGTGCTAGGGTTAACGTTGTCAGGTCGGTGGCGCTTCACCTTAAGATGTTTTTTAAGCAGTACTGAATCACAAATGCCAATGGTCTGTTGATCATAACTTAGTTCAAGCACTACTAGGATTTATTAGCGATATGGTTTACCATGTCGCTTACGTTTATGGGTCACAAAAGGGGAAACGTGTATTTGTATTCATCACCAGTAGGACTATGTTGTTCTCAAACAGCTCTTACTTAATAAGCAGGAATTATGATTTTATGAGACACGTGATTAAAAACAGCTTGGCATTTATATACATCACTAGAAATAAATATTCTTCTGTACGTCGAAAGTATCACACCATTATCCGTCACATTTAACCGCCTTTGGCTATTTTCACTTTCACTGGGCGCATAGCTGAAAGTAGTGAATACATTTTATTAACATATATGTTAGTGTGCTAAAATTCCACCAAATCGATGTTCTCACTATGAAAAACGCTTACTTGTATTTATCACAGCAACAAAATGTTAATCTTTCTATAACTTTATTAGGTTTTAATAATCGCTTTAACTCATGTCTCGACTAATCAGCACCATGTTGAAAATGTTTTTGTTTCAGGTTTGCGGTATGTTATTCCCGTTAATTGTATCGTATGCAAATACACTTTATAACATTTTGGCCATGAACTTTAAGCTTGTTTCTTTTGTTTCAGATCCTACGATGTTCGGGGTTCAAGTAAGTAGCTGAATTTTATCGATAGATAACTTACATTTTCAGTCAATTTTTATCGGTTATAACGTTTAGAATTTTCCAGGTATTTTAAGAGTATATAGGGTGTATGCTAAAAGATACGGGTTTTGACGTATTCTATGACGTGCTTCCATTCTTCCAAATACCATCAGTGAATTTCATTAGAAATTGGACACACGAAAAACAATATGTTGAACAATGTTGTTTTCTAATCAGTATTGATAACATCTTTATTATTTTGTCAACTACATGTTTGATGGAGTGAAATAATTTGTTACAAACTCAAAGTATGATATGCAATATTGAATGTTTATTTTTACAAGGTACTACGAAGCATAGCCCATTGAAAATGGAGTCTTACAAAGGTGAACCAATACTACAGACATGGAGTCCATACCGTGCGGCTGACCAGGTTGCTCTAATATCCATGCCAAATAAGATGGTAAGTTCCAGGTTTGTCAAATAGAACATTTACAAAAATGATTATCACAATTAATTCCGTTTTTAGATATGAAAAAGATTTTGATCAGGGAAACTACCTATCAATTAATTTTCATAGGATAACTTTGTAATGGTTAATTATTTTTATCGGGTGTTGAACTTTGGGATGATGTTAAGGTGTAGGGCAGTAGAATACGTTAAATTTCACTGTAGGATGCAAAAATAACATCCAATATACTGATTCAATCTCCTGAATCTTAATTAAAATTCAGATTCGATGGAACTACGTCAAAATACAAAAAAACAAAAGGAAAAAGCATAAGGAAAATAGGATCAGTTTTGTATGACGTCAAGTGCTCTTATTATCCCTACGTTGATGACGTCATAGGGACGCATTTGTTTAAAATAATTGTCTGTGTCATACATACATCAAAAATTTGTTTAAAGTTAAATCAAGCCTAGTTTTTGAGCTTTGTAGCATGTATTGTGTTGCCGGAAAGCACAGTAATGAAGTAATTCAATTAAAAATGTTGGAATAATTTTCCATGACTAAATCAATGGTATATCGCCGTTGTTTGTTGAATAACCGAAATTTTGTTTTGATTTTAGCAAACAACCATTGGCAGAACACCAAGCGGTCGAACTAAACGCCCTGCAGCTGATTTAGTAGGTAAAAAATCCAAAGACAGTGTTCCTAAACCAGCATTCCTTAAGTCTAGAGATTTAATATCTAGCAAAGGAAGTACTGTAGATCTCTCCTCAACAAAATCCCAAAATGGTGACGTCGCCAATAGGACAAGTAAAAGTAAATCTGTTTCATCTGAAAACACAGACGAACAAGAAGGGGAGACAACTGAGGTTTTACAGTCAAACGATCAATTTGAAGACTCAAAAATAAGTAATGAAAACGCAATGTTACCATCAATAAGAGAGAGGAAATTGGCAAAAGCGGCAAAGAAACGTGCAAAAAATGGAGGAGGAGGTGGGATTGAAATGAAACTTTTGAACGGAAAGGTAGGACAAAAGCATAAAGAGCCGTTCAAAACTGTGCCAAATGGTGAAGATGAGATGGACATCGTTACTAGGAGTGTTCAAAGTGCTGTGACGCCCGCTTCTACTGTTAATTCTATCAGGAACGAGATCAAGTCAGGTATACCAGACAAAAATGTAGTGACAAGTTTTAGTGGACCTGGACGGAACAGTAGAGCCTCAGGTTCATTAGTAGATATAGCATAACGTCAAACTTAAATATTAGTTCATGTTATGATTGTACAAAAATGTGAATACAATGCTTGTAAGATATCCAAGTAATATTTACAATGCATGTCAAAGTGATTAAGATAAATTATTGATTATAATCCTGAACAATTCACCTTCAATTCAAGCCTATTTATCCCTATTGTCAGCTTCATTATTTCGAGTGTGGTAATATAGAGCGCGTATTTTATTGGCAATCATAACTTTTTCTGTGTTGAAATATAATTGCCCTAATTGCAAGTTTTATATGTTATTTATATAACAATTAATTCCGATGAGCAATCTAATCATTGTGCTAATTTGCCCACTAAAATTGAAAATGCACCAAAAATTGCATGGTGAATCACGAGGAATCAGCGATACATTTACGTATGAATCTCCTAAGCATGTTTTTGCGATGAAACTTGTGACTAAAACTGAAAGTCTGTTTATAAAGATTTAGCCACGTTTAGTGACTGACTATGTTTTAACTGACGACTTACAATTTAAAACAAAAAGAAATCCACTTCTTGAAATATTATTATGTGATGCATTTCGATTTTATTATGTAATTCTGTCGATTGACACGGGTGAATTAAGATGATTAATTCTGTGATAATTTTTCTGTTTTGACAGTATATTGATTATAGATCATGTTCCGTATATTTATTTTATTTATATGATTCAACAACATAGACTGTTGTAGCACCAGCTCATTTCGTTTCATAAAAGTCACTGAAAGCGTTGTATCCGTAAACCTAACTGTGACATATATTATGTACAAAATTGGATTACGTATATGATTTTACAAGCTTTGGAAAAAAGTTTTGATATTTGATTTAAAATAATAGTTAAGATTTAATGTTCAAATACTTAACCAAAGTACCGTTTTATTTGAATGTGTTTTGATGTTCAAATTTTATGTCCGCATGAACTGCGTTCAGATTGATATTGCTTCATCTTAATAGATAACTAATTGTGATTATACATTATTCCAGTCATTTCACAACAACATAGTAGAATTCACGCATACCTAACATATAGGGAACTTCCTATAAAGCCTACAATCATTAGTGTTCGTCCTTACATTTGTAGATTATATATTTCTTTTTGCGCTATAATCGAATACTTTATCACATGGTAATTCAATATCTAGAATATTTCCAGAACTCCTGATATCTAAATTCTGTCAAGAAATCTGTTGCTTTCATTGTTAGTTTTGATTAATAGTTATTATTTATTAATGCCAATTAATGTTGTCCATATTATACATATCATAATCATTTTGTTATATTCATTATTTTCCATGACACCTTCGTGATTTTAAACTTGCCATTTTGTTGTTTAGATTTTAAAAATGAGGATGGCATTCGTTTTTTTTTTTTTTTTTTTGTTATTATTACCACATGTACCATTTGATGAAATGTCATAAAGCATATTGTAAATATGTAACTGACATTCCCAAACAACGTTTTTACTGAGGCAAATTAAGCCTCAGGTCGATCGTTCAATGACACTACGGTACCGCACACACCGTTCGTAAATATAAATGAATTATTTAAGTTTACTTAATTTTAGAAAATAATCTAATCGATTATATCAATATATATTCATATGTATTTGTTATTAGAATGAAATAACTTTTTACATCGATGACACATCAGCGTTATACGTGCTTTGCTGCATTGGCACCAGCTGATGTTTCAGTTTATTTGACTTTTCTCACATGAAGTGTCACAATATGTCAAAATCTGTATAGGTTGTCATTTTCGGGAATGAAATAAAATCATCAAAATGACTACAATGAAGACGAAAAGATTAATGGTGAATACAGAAGTCACGTATTACGTTTGTAAAAGCATTGATTGTAAGTCATATTAATATTTAAAATTTCAAGGATAAATCTAAATGTTGATATTCGTTTTTTACATTTGATTTATCGACATCGTTAAGCAGAACTATATGTCAACGCTATTGATGTTTTTTCATAGTTAAAAACTATAACTTATACATGTATATTCACACCTTGGTCGAAAGTATTACATTCAGTATTGATTCATTTACACAAAATGTGATTATTGATTTGTTAAGTGAATGGTTTTATACAAAGTGTAAAAATTGCAATGCGATGGAATTTAAAAATCAATCAATTTTCAAATAAAATCACAATTTAAATTGTTTTTGTGTTTATGTTTAAATGCTTTCCTGACGAACACCATGTTTACTGTACTGCATGTAAAATGTATTATTATAATCGTCCATGTATTTCATCATGACTTTTGATGTCCATGCAACTTACTGAATCATATGAGGACGCTTTTCTTGTATGTTTTGATTTAATTATTTTCGCAATATCTTATTATGGCAAAAGGTAAACCGCATTTTTGATAATTGAAAATTGTATAAAAGACTGATCAGATTTACGTAACAAAATTAGGTTGTTAGGATAATTTGACCTCTTTACAAAATTAGTTATCACGCTTTTATCGAGTTATAGCATTAAATATTATGCTAGGGCCTATTTTTGCATGGTAATAAAAAAAAATGGCACAACGGTTCTGATTTCTCTAATACAATGTCTATATTTCTTTCAGTATTCACTGGCAGCAGCATAGTTGACGCGTAACAAGTCTGTAAATACTAAGATACTGTTTGATGTCAGATCTCAGGCGAAATGTAATCACTATTTGTAAACTATAACACACTAATTTGAGGCTTTCTGACCTAACATCACTCCAGAGTATAAAAGTAAAAATATTACATGTAACCTATGATTACAGGACATGTTTTACTCCACGGTATAAAACGAAATGTTACATGTAACCTATGATTACAGGACATGGTTTACTCCACAGTATAAAAACGAAATGTTACATGTAACCTATGATTACAGGACATGGTTTACTCCACAGTATAAAAACGAAATGTTACATGTAACCTATGATTACAGGACATGGTTTACTCCACAGTATAAAAACGAAATGTTACATGTAACCTATGATTACAGGACATGTTTTACTCCACGGTATAAAACGAAATGTTACATGTAACCTAAGATTACAGGACATGTTTTACTCCACGGTATAAAACGAAATGTTACATGTAACCTATGATTACATTACATGGTTTACTCCAGAGTATAAAACGAAATGTTACATGTAACCTATGAGTACAGGACATGTTTTACTCCACAGTATAAAAACGAAATGTTACATGTAACCTATGATTACAGGACATGTTTTACTCCACGGTATAAAACGAAATGTTACATGTAACCTAAGATTACAGGACATGTTTTACTCCACAGTATAAAACGAAATGTTACATGTAACCTATGAGTACAGGACATGTTTTACTCCACAGTATAAAACGAAATGTTACATGTAACCTATGATTACAGGACATGTTTTACTCCACGGTATAAAACGAAATGTTACATGTAACCTAAGATTACAGGACATGTTTTACTCCACGGTATAAAACGAAATGTTACATGTAACCTAAGATTACAGGACATGTTTTACTCCACAGTATAAAACGAAATGTTACATGTAACCTATGAGTACAGGACATGTTTTACTCCACAGTATAAAACGAAATGTTACATGTAACCTATGAGTACAGGACATGTTTTACTCCACAGTATAAAAACGAAATGTTACATGTAACCTATGATTACAGGACATGTTTTACTCCACGGTATAAAACGAAATGTTACATGTAACCTAAGATTACAGGACATGTTTTACTCCACAGTATAAAACGAAATGTTACATGTAACCTATGAGTACAGGACATGTTTTACTCCACAGTATAAAACGAAATGTTACATGTAACCTATGATTACAGGACATGGTTTACTCCACGGTATAAAACGAAATGTTACATGTAACCCATGAGTACAGGACATGTTTTACTCCAGAGTATAAAACGAAATGTTACATGTAACCTATGATTACAGGACATGGTTTACTCCACGGTATTAAACGAAATGTTACATGTAACCTATGATTACAGGACATGTTTTACTCCACAGTATAAAACGAAATGTTACATGTAACCTATGATTACAGGACATGGTTTACTCCACGGTATAAAACGAAATGTTACATGTAACCTATGATTACAGGACATGTTTTACTCCACAGTATAAAACGAAATGTTACATGTAACCTATGATTACAGGACATGGTTTACTCCACAGTATAAAACGAAATGTTACATGTAACCTAAGATTACAGGACATGTTTTACTCCACAGTATAAAACGAAATGTTACATGTAACCTATGAGTACAGGACATGTTTTACTCCACAGTATAAAACGAAATGTTACATGTAACCTATGAGTACAGGACATGTTTTACTCCACAGTATAAAACGAAATGTTACATGTAACCTATGATTACAGGACATGTTTTACTCCACAGTATAAAACGAAATGTTACATGTAACCTATGAGTACAGGACATGTTTTACTTCACAGTATAAAAACGAAATATCACATGTAACCTAAGATTACAGGACATGTTTTACTCCAGAGTATAAAAACGAAATGGTTCATGTACCCTATGATTACGGGACATGTTTTACTTTAGTGTATAAAAACGAAATATCACATGTAACCTATGGTTACAGGACATGTTTTATTGACGTTTAAATGTTAATTCTTATCTACCTCGATATCGAATAATGGGGTTTTCCTATCTGAATACAGATCTAAGAATAATGTGTTGAATAATCGTCGACATCTGTCACTAGAATACAGTAAATGCTGATGCTAACGAGTTTCATAAAAGGCAAGAATACAAACAGACAAACAAACAAAAAAACAAACACAAAAAAGCAAAAAAAAAAAAAAAATGATTTGTCATTAAAAAATGTATAGAAATATATTTATTTGATATATAAGATATATATATAACAATATTTTTATGATATTTTCTTTCCTGCCTTCAATTTTCTAACATGTTAACAACGTCCTTATTCAAACTCGACATCGATAAGGCTAGGATATAAAACTGAGTTTGCTGCATTTTTATAAACACGAGACTATGTTTTGAAATAAGGTTTGTGCATGATTACACTCGTCAAGCCATAGTTCATACAAACAAACAAAAGGGGGATTAATGGAAAAGTATACAGGGAATAATATTAGATATTCCTGAAGGTTAAGTGTCGTCTGATTCATCGATGTATTTCAAAACGCTCATGAACACGACACTATGTTATAAAATAACCTTTGTGTAGAATGACACGTTGAACAATATCTCAAGTTGACTTTGTGTTATTTAAAGCAATAGATTAATCATCATTACATTAATGAGTTTTTACATTGTCCTCATAATAAATAATATTAGCAAGAATTATGCCACGTATATGCCATTGCTTACTCATCCAACAGGTGCCCGTGATTACTAAACCAACAGACTGTCTCGTTCCCACCAATATGTCTTATGAAATGTGAACATTTTACAATCTCTCTGTACAGAAGAGGTGTATTATAAAATTGTTTGTGTTATTGAATATTACTTCTCGGGCTCTGATATTCATAAAGTAAAATTCAGATGTGATGGGAAAATATCAATTATGTATCACGGGACATTGTTATTTGTGCGAAATCACGTAATCATTGGTGTAGCACTTGAAATGTGAGACAAACTTCGATAAGATAACAATATAGTAAGGTAATGTTGTGCAATCTTTTTTAAAGTTAAAATCGTTTCTGGTAGCCGATGGTCATTTACGGATATACATGTTGATTTTATGAATTGAACAATTTTATAAAAATGGATTGAAGATTTATAAATAAACGTTTTTAAGACGTTGTCTTAATCTATGTTGTGTATTATATAAGTGACTTGCTGAAACCTTATCATTACACGACTCTCTAGGCACAGAGATATCGGAAGGATTTCGCGGTTATTGACTTCTGCCAAGAGTTCAATATATAGACAGAAATACAGAAGAGCGTTGAGGTACCTTAAACGTGTTTCAGTAAGTACATGGTTATATACAAAAAACACTTAAACGCTGTACGTCGATTTTGTTGTAATTGATAAATGTTCTTTAATGCCATATGCTCATTACAGTTATAACTATAATTCGTTAAAAATAATGAAAAATATCGATGTTCCAGACTTCATACTTCTATCTTTGTAGTAAAGCCCATAGTTTGTAACTCTTTTTTCTCATGTGGCTGAATTAATATAATGTAACTCTTCCTTGTTCTTATCTATCAGATATTTTCTTTTAAAAATGTTTTCAATATGCCTCATGCTATATGGAAAATGAATCATCGTTCGCTTTCGTTGCCTGAAAAAGGTAGGCTGGGATAGATATATAATACTGAATTATTCCGAAACGCATTCTGTGATACTACTCTACTGACCAAGGTCAGGACAACAGATAACATAAGTGTAAACTGTTTGAATCGCTGACTTTGCCGAGTCTCTTAACGGCATTAGAAAAAAACTGTGTGAATGTCAAACCATGGTAGATAGGGAGATGCACTGACCCAATATTCAAGAAACTTTGTAATCGTCAAGTATATATTTTTATTCACACGTCATAACTGATGATAAATCTTGAGCCTTTCTGTTTTAGAAATGACGTTCTATGTTGTAATCCTGATCCTGATGGCAACATTCTGCAAAGGTGATAAACAATATATATTACATACAAAGTGCTTCATACCACATCAACAATACAACAAATACTATTGTCGATGGTGAAGTCAGCAATGTTTTCAAGAACCTGTGCCAATCTGTTACTCTCATTGCATATATACCATCCCTTTGTATTAAATCAATGTGTGTTATCCGTTATATACAGGTTGATAAACAATTTGCGAGGAAGTTTGAAATTTGCTTTACATAAACGTTTGATTTGACTACCACCGTTTTTTTTTTTTTTTTTTTTTTGAAAACTGATTTTAAAATCATTCTGACAGGAGTTTATGAAACACTTCTCGTTTTGACAATTAGTGATATCCTAGTGTATGTATTTAACCTCGTTTAATTTCATAAATCCCATGACAATTGCAATGCATGTTAATATATTAATTAATATTCAGTAGGATCTATCAGAAAAAAAAACATCCAGATTTCCATTTGAGAATAGAGAATTCTTTAAAATCAGTCAATGAATCTTCAATTTTGTTTTTACAGTTGCTCAATTCACAAACATTGCTAACGTGCCATATTAAAATCGAGGCAGCAAAACTTTCAAAGAATGCCTTCATTTGTCGGTTATGTACTGATATTATATATGTTACCTTTACAAAATGTAAACTTTCTTGTTCAATACAAAAGCATATGAAATGAGATTTAATTCCGCTGATCATTATAGTATTATATCTATATTATACAGAAATGAGTTCTGTTGCTAAGACAAGAGATGTAATGACACCGGTTTTGTCTACTACGGCAACGACAGAATGTGTCGACGTGTTTCACCATTGCAAAGCCTTTAACACAACAGCATGTGACGCCAACCATCAAAGCTGGGCCAAAAAGTATTGCGCTAAGTACTGCAGTCTATGCGGTAAGCTACACATTTGTTTGTTTGTTTTTTGTTTTTGTTTTTTTTTTGTTTTGTCTTTGTAATACGGCATTCTAAAAGAATTCTTAAAGCACAATAAACAAAACGTTTGAGTATGGATTTTCAATTCTCCACTACCAACATCACAAATGTATAAGTTTTGTATCAAGTAGGAGGATATTATTTCCAAAAGTCATGTTTGTTAAATATATTGTTACATAAGACTTCAAAGTACTTGTGTCTTATTTTGATGTTAAGACATATTGTCATACCATAAGGATATAAACGATAGAATCGTAACATGCGTGCAGCTGGAATCGGTGTATTTTGTAGATGACGCTTGTGTTGATGTCGAGCCTAACTGTGAGACATATGGCTTGGCTGCTTGTCAAATGGCATTCACATCTTGGGCCGCAAATAATTGTGCCCGCTTCTGCGGATTATGCGGTGAGTTTTAAACTGCTGAATATTTCTTGTTACCGGATTCGTAAAATTGATTACATCTCTGCATTAAACCTTGTTTTGTTGTCCAATGAGCTCTTCAAAATAAATTTACACTGCTTAAAAATTTACATTGCTTTGTAACTAGTTTGTGTTAAACATAAGAGTTTTGTTTCGGTATAATTATAAAGTTAGGTATAATATGAAATAAAAGTGTTCCGAAATGATTCCGTAACCATTTAATGTGATCATGCATTTTTCAATAAATGACTATTTGAAAATCTTCAAAACTAAGATTGTTTATATACGGTATTCTTAGTGACATACCCATAAGAAACGCTTTGTGTTAAACATCTGCTAATTTTCAGTGAATGCAGAAATACCTACCCCACCAAGCGGGGCAATGCCTTCCCGCGCTGGTTGTCATGACACACAAAACTGCACTGCTTATTCTCATGATGTGTGCACGAAATATAATATATGGGCCCGTCAACACTGCGCATCATTTTGCGGATTCTGCAGTAAGGATTTAACTAATTATTTTGTTAACCCAGAAACGAATGCTGCGAGATTTTCAAGACAATTCTAATTTATCTACTGTTTTGTTAAGCGCTTTTCAGTTTCGTAAGCGGTATTTACATATTGGCACAATAATCAAGAGATATTTTTATAGGAAATTGTTAGTAACAACTATATAATACAATATAATAGAAATACATTCATGCAAATGAGTGAAATGCTCTATCGAAGTCATTCTTGGTTTTATACTAGTATTGAGACTATTGAAAGTCATACTATTAAATTCTCTATGTATTGTATGTTCGGACATATATTAATGAAACCACTTATACCTTAAATGCAAAAATACAGATTTCTGACCTAGTTTTCAATTTGAAAATGTTTTGTTCTTTGTTTCAGGCTAAGTTAAGAGAATTTATGTAAACAATGCCTACACCAGCCGCAAATACATGTACATCGAGTTTAGTATCCATGCTATCTTATTAGACTTCAATTTGATGTGAAATAAAAAGAGGTTTTCGCAATATATCTCTATTTTGTCTCCTTTCATTTCTATATTTCAAACAAAATGCAATCAAGTGAAACGTATCCAAATCAAAGTAGAAATATATGGAGGAAAATATCATAAAATGATCGAGTTTCTGGTTAAAACATCTTCGTCGGCGGTAAAATCTTCCAACAGACTATTGACATACCTATGGAGACCAACTGTGCCCCTCTGTTGGCTGACTCGTTTTCATACGAGTCAGAACTTGGATTGGCCAAGGTTTACATAGCGGGTGTCGTCGATGAAGTATAAGACTATTACTCTTCCGGACCACCTGGTCTTATTCTCCATGTACGTTTTCAGGAATTTATTAATACTTTTTAACTTATTACTGATTTGTTTGGTTATTATTGCCTGAAAATTGATAATTGATTTGGCAAAACATTACATGTGTATTATTTACTTTAATGGACACCAATTGTACGTCTGTTTATGTGTGAAAATACATAATTCTTACAAGAATAGGCTTGCACTTTTGTAAACAGAACAGTTTATCACACATGAAAAATTACAGTAATATAATAAACATACGTGTGAGGAAAATAAGTACAAAATGAAAAAAATAATGAATTGGATGGGAAACCAAACATACACCCAAACTATACACCATTATATCACAAAGATAGTTCAAGGAAAGAAATGAGTACAACTAACAACATCATTTTATTAATAAATGTTTGATATGTGGAAATGCTTTATTTGGTAAAAGGCAGTATCCATTTATCGGGGTGGTTTCTGACGGGCCTTGATGTAAGTGATTACAATTTGTCCTTTCGTTTGGTTCTTTTCCTTGGAGTTTCGTGTTTTAGCATTCTTGTTTTTTTTAGTGGATGGGTAATGAGGGTCGTTAGGTTTTCTTTTTTATTACTTGATTAACTGTTTAGTTTAACATTTTTGTTGAAATATTTCGCTTGCTGTCAGCACATATATTTTGTCAATCAATTCCGAAAATGACAATAGCCCGAATAGGCAAACATATGAATTAAATCACAATATAAAAATAAAATTTAATTCAGCTATTATTTTTTTGTTTGTTTATCTATTTATCCATATATTTATTTTTTTTTTCTAATTATTTAGCAAGATTCTTTTTAAAATATACTTTGTTTTAATTGTAATTATTAAATAAGAATATTACTCTTGTTGCAACGCTTTATATATATAATTTCTATAACAAAGCAGGTTTTCCACTTAGATAAGAGGACTGGTAATTTACACTTTGGGCGAATAGATCTAATTGATTCAATAATATAATAATTGTTTTATGTAAATTGAATGTATACTGTTCTTATATTACTATATCAGTTTTCAAGGAGATAATAAACTGTGACTGTCGAACCCTGGAAATCGATTAATTTTTCAATTGATGATATTTCTTTCATTTATTCATACGACTATATACGGCATGAGAACTGTGACAAATAATAATTTAATCAATAAACCCTTAAACATTTCTTACCCTTACCCAGTTTGTTTCAATGTCTTCTTCACAAAATAACAAATATTATACATTATTTCATAGAAATATTTTGTATTGATTTGTGTATATGTGAATGATCTGATATTTGATAACGATTAACAGAATTAAATTTAAGCAAAAGATCTAAATCAATCTCGGGTGTTTAACGTCTTATCATTTCAACTATTTCTTATGAACACAAGCAAAAATAGAGAATATGTTATAAAATTACAAGTTTAAAAGGGTAATATTATGAGATTGAGAAAGCAGAAATATTTCCATAATTTTATAAAAAAAAAAAAAAAACACTTTTTTCACCAATGCATACCTACACTAAATGCACCATGACAATATTATACGAAAAGTTCGCACATACATTAATGCGTTGAGTGGAAAATAAGTGAAGCAATAAGTTCATTTCTTTGCAGCACTTTAAATTGAGATGGTGTGAAAGGGACATAAATCCTAGCATCAATACAATTTAGATTATTTTAGATTATTAAATACTTTGGTTTAATGGTAATTTAAATGCATACAATGGATTATACTTACCTCGACTTAACTATTAAGTTACATATGTATTGCTTAATTCAATCCCTTAATGTTAACGTGAAAGTTAATAACCCTTACCCCATACTTGTACGATTGTTTACATCTGTGAAGACACTTTTTAACACTTTCCTTCAGGATTTGTCTTCCGACCCGATTTCAGCGGCGATCGCCCCAACCAACGTCGTATATTCATCGACCGGTCCTGTATACAAATATAGTCACATCAAAAAACATTTGTATTAAAATGAAAGTGGTATATATTTCGGTAATTTTTTCTTTGATGCTCAATGCTCTTTTTTGATTGTTAAATGCATCATTCAGTTGCATTGTGACAGATTTGTTTTTTACAATTGGTGATCGGAATCAACATTATTGCAATCACTTGTAAGCTTGCAGGTTATATGATTATGATTGTAAGAATCTCACCAAATGATATATTTGGAAAACTTTGTTGCCTCTGTTTACCAGTGAAGTGATCGGAATCTCCTGGAGTATTGTCAGGTATTGTAATGGTTGCCACAGGTTCCATTTTATTTGCTGGATAACATTAAGAATGTGACGATAATGTAATGTGAATTTATTCTCATACTTACATTTAAGACGCACTTACGATGCAACAAGTAAATTTTGACTACTTTGAAAGTTAAATTTTAGACTGATCAACAATATAATAGGTATGTCTAACTATTTTCAAATGATTGAACGTATCCTACTTTATAACGTTTCAAATGATAACACATCAAAAATAATTGACATAATAGGAAAAAGTTTTTATATTGTTTAGTTTGGATAATAATAACGACAGACGATAATAATTTGTTTATTACACATTGCGTCAATGACTCTTCTCGCATGTTGTCGAATATGGACTATCAGAAAGAATTTATCTATATCTTACATTACCAAGGGGATGTTACTCTAATCGCCAGTTATTATAACTTTTGTAACATTATGTTATATATGTAACATAAGTATGTGATTAGATGAAAAGAGGAATAAATCTTACAGTATAATGAAACGTAACTCTTATCGCAAGCTATTTTGACATGTGTAACATTATGTGACATATATAACATAAAAGTATGGTTAGGTGTAAAGAAAGTTAACCCAATTTTTAAAGAGGGTGAGAAAAGCGTTGTCAGTAACTATAGACCAATATCAGTTTTACCTGTCCTGTCTAAACTTCTAGAAAAACATGTTCATTCTACCTTGTATAGATTTTTAACAGAGCATAACTTAATTATTGAAAACCAATCTGGTTTTAGAAGTATGCATTCTTGTCAAACTGCTTTAACAGCTTTAACAAACAGCAACAGGGTGAAGTATAATGAGTGTATACTGATGTATAAAGTTATCAACAAACTATGTCCAAACTATCTAAATTGTAATACCCTGGTCTCCAATGTCCATAACAAGAAAACTAGGTCAGCAACTTCAGGTAAATATGTATTACCTCAACACAAAACTGAAAAATTTAAAAGTTCATTTATATACAATGGTCCTTTACTCTGGAACAGTTTACCAGTTACTGTGACTGGAAGTGGGACATTAAAAACTTTCAAGGTGGAATGCAAAAAACACTTTTTAAATCTATCTTAGTTATGATTCTAACTACTTTCCAGTGGCCTTGTAAGGTTTTAGTACTATGACTATCCAGTAACTTTTAGTTTAGAATTAAATGTCCATCTTTTTAGCTACAACCAATCAATTTTAATATATGCTATATTAGCGTATAGTCGGTTAAATTTTATTATTTGTCACATTGACATATATGTATATTGGACACTTAAATATGTGTTTTAATTCCAATATATATGCATCATGAGCTTTATGTAGTGCACTACTTTTAATTAATGATCCAAATTAAAACTATCATTATGTTCACTGTGATACATTTACTCTATATGTGATGTTATAACCTTTTAATAATACAATGTAATTTAATGTTGTAAATACTGTACATTTTACTGTCGACCGCTTGTAAGAAGAGTCTTTGACTCAAAGTGTTATCGACCTGAAATAAAGTCTATTATTATTATTATTATCATTATATTCTCTTATCATGTAAATTTTACATATAAGTACTAAAGATTTATAAATAAGTCCATCATGCCAGACGCTTTACTTTTATCACAGAACACCTTTCTAGCTTCTTCACCGTTTTCTAAATGCCTAACAATTTTGTCATAAATAATTAATTGTTGATTAACAGCAGAATCTTTTGGTATGAATCCCGATTGATTTTCAGAAATGATCTTGTATGTTAAAAAGTAATTTAACATATATTTTAAAACTATTTTTTCAAGTACCTTACTAAAGATAGGTGTGACAGAGATTGGCCTGTGATTGGATGAGTCAACTTTTCCACCTTTTCCCTTATAGACTTCTGAAACATTCATTACAACCATGACATCATTCCATCTTTTTTGGACAAGAGAAGTGACGTCACCTTCTAGGATGATCACGCTTTATCACCTTCACACGTATCCCCTTATCCTTACCTAACCTAACATAACCTAACCCTAACCCTAACCTTTAACCTAACCTAATATAACCTAGCCTAACCTAATCGTAAACCTGTCGTTTTCAATTGCTTTATTACATCAAAGATGTATTTATACAAAACTGCAATCATGGAAGCGGTACTTATAATACCTTGAATACAGTGAAAATAAATTAACAATGTAAGGAAACGATAATAAGGATCAAATACAGTCTAAACAACTCTAGTTCTAGCAACAATGTAATTCATTGTATTTTTCGACAAATCAGGTGACAGGTGACACCTTAAAGTAAAAGAGACTAAGCGTCCAAACGACACCATACCAGGAAGAAGACAAACCAAA